GCCTAGTTGAGCTGAGTAGTAGGAACCTATTGAACTGGGAGGGAGGACCACGTGAGGACTGACTGCTGAGGCTTCCTTCTCCACCAGCCTGTACTGTGAGACCTCCACGCTGCAGAACACCTGGCAACTATCACAGCACCGACAGTGGACTCAAGAGCAGGGGTCACTGACAGGCAGGATGCGTGTGAAATTGCAGGGCCCATGAAGCACTGGCTGTCTTGGAGGACAGCCTAGAGAAGCCAGTGGTGATTTTGCCTCTGGGAAGCCCAGGCCTTCAGTATACTCTGGGGTGAGAGGGAGAGCGACTGAGACAAGGCTGGATGCTGTGACTGAGTCCACACTGGTGTTATTCCGGAACACTCACCAGACAGTGTTCCATTCTGCTGTGCATAAGGTCGCTATGAGTCAAAAGCAACTAGACGTCACCTAACAACAAGCTCATCCGAAAGGCAGGTGCCATTTGTTTAGCTATAGAGACCTTTGGGACCAGCATGAAGTTGTCAGCTAGGGCCACTGAGAAACACAGGTTGAGTGCTTCTCCCTCCCTACAGAGTCTCAGGTGATTCTTACACCAGACTCACCATTCCTCTGCCTAAACTATAGGTTTACTTTCCCATCTCCTTTCTGTTTTTAATACTTCTCACAGGCCTGAAGAGGGTATGAAATAATCCATCTCAAAATATACCAGCACATTAAATGGAATAACACTTGCTTTGTTCCATAACGAAGCTATAATTTCACTGCAGAATCAAGGGCTATGTCCTTAGTTAATAGCTTAAACTTGGAACGAGTTTAATTGCTTTGATTTCACTCTTTAAAAATAGTAATAATGGAGGGGGGGCGGGGGAGGGAGAAAAGAAAAGACCAAGAAAACAAAACTTAAAAGAGTGTGTTAGTTTCTAAATGATTCCCTAGTTACGAGGCGCTGAAGAAACACCTGGTCCGTGGGTGTGTTCCTCGCTTGCAGATGTTTGCTTATATGCTGTTAAATTCAGAGCTCTGTGCCCACGGGGCTGAGGGAAGGAAAGAAGATGCCACGTGGAGGTGTACAGTCTGGAAAGTGAGCAGTTTAGTGCTGTGAGGATTACAGGATAGGGCACCTAGGGTAAATATCACACCCTAGAGTAACCCTTGGTCAGTGCTGAATAGCACAGGTATTTGGTGTGGATTTGCTGGTGTGGTCCCATGACTCCTTTTCCTTCCTGTCTCAGAGATGGGAAGTGGGTTCTGGAGAGCTTTGCTTATGACTACATTAAGAGAAAGTTCCTATAGACCTAGATTCCAGCAGGGCGAGAGCAAACACCTCCTTCTTGGGACTAGCTCCAAGTCCAACATCATCTGAAGTTTCTAAAATGCAGAATTTGTACATTGCAACATGTGTTCCTCACTGGAGAAGAGGGAGGAATGTGGAAGATCAGGGGGTTTTAAGCATACCTGTGCATATATAAGGGGCGGAGGACTAGCCAAATGGGTGATGGGGGTGAGGTTTACAGGACAGACTCGCACCTCTGCTCAGGATCCAAAGCAATAAAGGCTGAAGCCTCTGGTTGAAGAACTGCACCAACTGGTGAGCCTGGATTTGGTGTGGCAGGTGCAGAAAAGTGAGAGAAATCCTGAGTAGCTGTTGTTTAGGGAACCATACCAGGTTATCTGTAAGACAGGGTCCTCAGAATTTCTCTGCAAGATGAAATCAAATGAAGAAAAGCACTTGTTGTTGTCTTTAGTCTGAGATGCAGAGGAGAGGGGCAAGATAGAGCAAGAGAAAGACTCGAGAAAAGATACCATTCTCCCCTAATACAACCCCATTATGCTGCTGGCGGGGCCCTATCACCCTCTTGGGTGAAGAGGAAAGGCAGAATTCACGCATTCATTCATAACCCATTAGCTAACTAGCCCCTGCCCATGTTCATGCAGACAAAATTGTCAGGTGTTCTCACCGGTCTTTAAAAACACGTAGACCAATGGGAAAAGCAAAAGCAAACATCAAAAATGATGACATGAGAGACAGGGTTAGGGGTTGGAGGGCTAGATCTCAGGGACATTTGAGGCCGTTGTAGCAGAACTTAGATGCAAGGCATGATTCAGTGTGAGAAGGAGGGAGTAAGGGGTCATGAAAGAAGATGTTCAAAGTACAGGATTTCTTCTTTATGGAATATCACATACCCACTGACGTGCTTACTCATCAAGACCAAGGGTATATAACGGTATGGCAAAACAATTGTAAAGCCGTGTTAGTGAGAACACAGTTGGTATTTTTACAGAATGATACCGATTCCAACTATGTGAGTAAACACGTGCATGCAGGCAGGCTGCCGGAATAGTCAACATGAAATCTGCTGGATTAACAAGTTTCAATGTGATGAATACCAACTTTATTTTTCCTAATGAAATAATTCAAAGAAAATAGGCTATTCCCATTGGAGAGGGATCTGTATATTCCTTTCAAACAGTACACTTATGCTGATTTCACTGATGGTTCTCTGGCAGGTCTGATGTCTCAATCCTATAATAAGTCTGTCAGCCGACAGCGATGACCAGGACCTGACTACACTAAATGGCACCAGTTCCAGGAAAACAAACAGTTGGGAGTGTGTTTTCACAGTTTAATTACCCTCCCAATCATAGCTGAAACTATACAATAGAGCTGTTTCAATCATAAGGAGAAGCTGGTTTATAGGCTGGTACAGTAAGCATGATTCTTCTTTAGTGTAATGGGGCTTTGGACAGTCCCTGAGGCCCCTTACCCCCCTTCTCGAACTCCCATACTCTCTAGGGTTTCCTTCTCATTTTTCTCTGAAAAAAAAACAAACAAAACCAAACCGTGAGGTTGGGGCGACCCAGAGTTTGGGGTTGCTTTAGGTCAGAAGGCTCCTGTGTTCCTCTGTAGAGGCCCCGTTTAGTCTTGTCCACTCTCTTGGTGACCTCCTTCAAGAGGTGAAGAGTGGTTTTTAACATTAAGAAAAACAGTAAACATGTAGGGTTATTTTTAAAATCACAAATGCCAGTCTATGAATATACCTTTATAATTACCTGAATATACCATTCCAATTCATCCCAGCTATCAAAAAGTGACTGGTTGTCCAGGCATTTAGGGTGGGGCTGTGGGTGAGATTTTTGAGAGCGGTTTCATTTAGTAAACCTGGGACTCCTGGTGTAGTGCTCCTGTAGAATCAGCACTGGACTACAAACCTCAGGGTCAGGAGTTCAAACACACCAGCTGCTCCTCACAGACTCTCCAGAGTCACTTTGAGTCAGAACTGACTCAGTGGCACTTGACAGCAGAGTCATTTTTGTCACAACATAGACAACATAGAATACCTCTTTGCTGACCTGGAATTTTTTTCCCTACAAAGCTCAGTGGGTGTCTGAGTTTCTTTTTATCTCTCTCTCCCACTTCCCTTTCCCACCACTTGTCTGTCAGTTTGTTGTACTGTGTGTTGCTATGATTCTGGAAGCTATGCCGTGGGTATTTTAAATACCAGCAGGGTCACCCATGGTGGACAGGTTTCAGATGGGCTTCCAGACAAAGGCAAACCAGGAAGAAGGAGAGACAAATGACTTCTGAATATTTAGTCACTGAAAACATCAATAGCAGTAGAACTCTGTCAGAACTAATTACTGAATACTGAAACATGATGTAGAGCACCAGAATATTGTCAGATACAGAGCCAGAAGATGAGCCCCTCAGGATGGAAGGCACTTAAAGTGCGACTGGGGAAGAGCTGCCTTCTCAAAATAGAGTTGACCATGATGACGCAAATGGAGTAAAGCCCGTGGGAGTAAAGCCTTAGGGACCTTCATTTGCTGATGGGGCACAACTCAAAATGAGAAACAGCTATAAACGTCTGTTAATAATCGGAACATGGACTGTACAAAGTATGAATCTAGGAAAATTGGAACTTGTTAAAATGAATGGAATGACAAATTGAAGAGGAATGGTGTCTCAGGAGCAGACTATGGAACACACCTTCAGTTGCTCATATACAAATTCAGGTTGAAGCTGAAAAAAATTAAAACAAGTCCACGAGAGCCAAAATATGACCTTGAATAATATATCCCACCTGAATTTAGAGATCATCTGAAGAACAGATTTGATGAATTAAACACTGAAAACTGAAGAACAGAAGAGTTGTGGGATGATCTTGAATGTCATCATACAGGAAGAAAGTAAAAGGTTATTAAAAAGGCAAGAGAGAAAGAAAAGGGATACCAGAAGAGACTGAAATTTGTTCTGATTGGAGGAAGACTCACTAACAACCTGCGATATGCAGATGATACAACCTTGCTTGCTGAAAGTGAAGAGGATTTAAAAGATTTACTGATGAAGATCAAAGAGCACAGCCTTT